CTATTGTCTTAAGAATGTATTAGAAATATTATTCTAAATTTAGTCTCTATTTTTCAACATAACATAAAAATAATATAAATAATATGGTTTACAGTCTTTAATTATTAATAATAACTCAAAAATATTTTGGTATATAACCTTATACCCATATGATAAGTGAATATACAAAGGCATATAAATAAAATAAATAAATATATTTTCACAAATTTCCTATTACGGCTAAATACTAAGTATAAAGAGGACCGTGTACTAATTACCACAATCTCTATACATAACTTCGTTCACTCTGATGGTTTCAAAAACTGTCAAATTCTCTATCCAAGTCTAATCACTCCATATAACTTAAATAGTCGCGTGCAATGCAAATTTTTTATGCAACATAGAAGGAACACTTTTTCCCCAAGAACACTTTAGTTGTAAAATTGCTAATGCAATACTAGCATTTATTAATACGTGAACAATGTAATAATAATATTTAAACGTACGTATTTTTGACTAATTTAGACAATAATTTCATAAATATAGAAAAATATTTCTTAAATACATTTAATCTACACTTATTTAGTACATCAGGTATTAATCAAGTAAATATAAATCCGAAAATGCGCCAAGCTGAATGGGCACTTCAGGATAATGAAGGAGAGATAGTGTTTAGTTCAATCCATCAAACGTAAAGCCTGTTCAACAATTGTAGAAATACGAGCACGTTGCTGGGCACACAGACACAATGGCACATGGATCTCGCATGAGCCATGTGGGAGCAAACAGGCACACACGTATTCCGTGTATGCCTCATTAAATTTTGTTTGAATAGAGGGATGAACCAGCCACAGCCACTACCTTTCTACTTAGTCAGATACAGATTGTAGCGTCAGCTGATATGATAAATTATGTAAATGTAATATATATTAAAGTGGTTCGTAGACAGCCAAGTGGCTTAAATCAAGCGCCTAGATTATGTCACTGGAAGCATTCGTCAAGCATTTTTATCATTTCGCTTCATACTTAATGTTGTGTTTTATTTCTGTAAAATTTAGGTCTAGAACTATCAATGATTTTATTAAAGAATTAATACAATGTAATGTATTGTATGTTACTGATAGATTATATTCTTTTATTTTATTTTTACATTATATTTTGCACGAAGTGAGCATCACGCATGTAGGAATTAAAAATTTATTTAAAATACAGTCAAAAATAAAGTACTTTTATTATATATATATATATATATATAATTCAATAAACATTGTTATTTAGTTCTATACATAATAATATTACATTAACTGATGATCTTCATATAGAAATTGGCTACCTTTCTATTTGTTATGTAAGCACAATAATTCAATCATGAAGATCACTCAAACAGAAATAATAGAATACATAGGATTAGGAGTAATGATTAACAAATATTATATAAGTATAATAGGTATATAAGGATAACTTTCTGAGGCCTTGCACGTAGTGGCTATACCAGGTTTTATATATTTGCTAAATAAATATAGGTTAACATACCCATATTGGCTACAGAATATTGAAAATATTGACCTAAAAATGTGATAAATTAATTTAGAGTGTTATTTTTTTAAACTATCTATATATATATATAAATCAAAATAATGTACTACAGTATTGTACACCTTAAAAAGGTCAACAAAAAATTCCGTGATGGTGTATGTCTATCTCTTAAGGATAACCCAAAATAACATTTTTTTATACTTTACATTTTACGGAAAAAAATGGCTTATTTTCGAAGTGATTTTAAGCAATACATCATTAATTCTTATCCAATTAAGTACCTTAATTACATTGTCCATTTAATATAGATCAATATGGTCCTTTACAGCATGTAATTTAAATGATTTTTTCCGAAGATATTACAGACTTAAAATGCAGGGACATAGCAGTGCGGCATTGGACCCGTACAAAGCCGGAGCGGGTCGCTAGTAAACATATATCATGTATAAGACACAGATATAAGAGAATATTCTACCAATATTTATTCCTAGGATACGTGGATCCAAAAAAAAAATTACCCTCTCTTACTAACTCCTCGGCTGAACACGCCGTGTTAGTATAGACACTCAATATTTTTTCTCACTTATCATTTTTGCTGTCCATACACAGTGTAGCGGGAGCATCAGCTGAATAGTCCGAGACGAAGGGCCGCCACAAACATCGCCGCTCCATCACCGCGCCCATTTCGCGAGCAAACACTCGCCTGCCAACGCCCATTCACGGACCCGCTCCGCTCTACAACCCTAGGCTACAAACGATAGCTTTTCACATTCCAGTGAAGTCTCCCCTCCTTTGTGGCATCGACTCGTAATATATCGTTTTATACACATAATGCACATCGTTAATATACATGACTTATAGAATAAATGATACTTCATTACTTTCTTAGAGATATGGTATAATTTGAATGTGTTTACGGCAGCGCATGTACTATAGATAAAAAGATTAAACTATAAATTTATTATGATATTAATATGAAAAAAAAAGTATTCTAGTACTTTTTTTAAATATTATCATAAGAATAGTAAATAATCAAAATTTTAATTGCCTTTAAAGCCTTTTTTCAAAGTTTCCGTGCATACTATCATAGAACAACGATCACATTTTCTTTTACAAATTATTAAATTTAGTTAATAATATTTTAAAGACCATTCTCCTATCCTAGTTCATGCAGACAAAACCGTCAGTTACTTATTTATAAATTAAAATGAAAACAGATAAAAGGATGTGAAAATAGATAAAAGAAAAAAAAACAGAGAGTATAATAGAAAAGCGAAACATATCGACACAGTAGCAAAATCAATTCGCGTTCAGTCGACTTACGTCCACCTCAGTAAATGCTCAGCTTACATTTCACTACGTTCAACAATTGGAACTCAGTAAGCATTCGAATGCTTTCAATACGCTTCTATATGCCAGACGGAGTGGACTCATAAGCACAATAGACGCCAATCTGTCTAGAATTCGGCTTGGATGCCATTGCGTTTACATGCAGCGCCGCCACGCTGGCAGCATTAGTGGCATGTCGCATCAAGAGTATTATTGAATTACGTGCGCACCGGATTCTACCATTTATGTACACTGGGAATGATTATTGCCATTGGAAATATTATAGTGAATTAAAAATATCGAAATTATATTTAGATAGAAATTAGATTCAGTAAATCTTACGTTACAACTTGAAAGTGACCACTTATTTAGGGGTTTAATATATTAATTTACGTATAAATTCGAAAAAAGATACTTCTTTAGACCTATTAATTACGAAAATTACAAATATAAAAATAAGTAAGTAAAATCTATCTAATCTATCTTTTTTCGTTTTTGTTTATAATTTTCTTTGTAATATAATCGTCACATGTTCTATATCTAACAGTGGACAGGTAATGGCTGAAATGATGATGATGATCATCATCATCATCATCATAACAAATTCGCAAATAAATGACAAAATTAATGATAACTATGAAGGAACAAACCGTATTTTTTTTACAATAGCATAAAAACGTGATTACCAATATCTATATTCCACTAATTCAATTAACTATTACAATTATACAACTCAACAATAACATGAGAGCACATTACGTTATCAAATAGCATGTTTTCATGTATTGTTGAATTGAATAAAAGAGCATTAATAACAAACTAAATACGATATTAAGTTATGGAAGCAATGATCAAAATACAACACATTTATGTTAAACTCCATTGGTTTGACGCAATACACTGGTCGACCACCGAAATGAGAAGCGACCACAGTACCATTTTACATATTGAATGATTATTTTGTCCGTAGGCATGTTACGGGAGATACAAACCCATTGTATATTCATTTGTGTGTACCGATTAACATAATAATGTTGTTGTACCTCTGTCGTGTCGAATTCACAATATATGAGGAAGGATTCTCACATTTTGGATTTTTTTACATCGCCAACTGAAAATCTGGAAATAGAATTATAGAAAGAACCGGCTAATAGAAAGCATTATAAATTTGTGTATATATACATTAGTGCTATATCTACTATTATAATAAATGAGGCTATAATGCAACGTAAATGTTTATATTAAATTGTGTATTGATTTGATGCAATGGACCAATCGACCACCGAAATGAGAAGCGACCACGACCGAATGCCATTTTGCATATCGAGTGATTATTTTGTTCATCGGCGTGTTACAGCCGATACAGTGCCATTGAATATTCATTTGTTTGTGGCGATTAACATAATAACGTTGTTTTATGTCAGCTCTATAGGATTCGCATTATATGTAGGTGAATAAGCTTGAAGATTTTTTTGTATTCATGTTATTATTTGATGTTATCATTACTTAATGCTATAAAAGTAGATAGATATATAGATTATTACCAATAACAATAATAATTACAGTTAAACAACAATAAAGAAAAAAAGTCGGTATCTTTTGCTGGTAATAGTAGAGTTAGTAAAGGTGTTTGGGTGTTTGTTGATATGTCTGTTACTCGATCACGCTTAAACGACTGAATGAACCAAATTTTATTAAAATGAAATAAATTTGGTAGATAGATAGATTATGTCCTAACTAAATGCAGTACCCTATCTAACCTAATTTAATAAATATTTTATACACTGATTCACGCAAGAAAACCCGTGAGAAACAATTTTAACTATCCAAATATCTTTACTCACTTTCATATTCATAATGTCTTTATTAGAGTTAAGATTTTTTTTATTCCTATATGCATATTAATTGTCAATATTTATTTTCATATACATTTATTATTATTAGACATTTTTATTTAATCTCTTAAGTTATATTTTGTATAACTAGAAAATAGTTATACAAGTTAAATGAAATTATTTACTTCCATAACATCCAGTTCTGTGAAAAATTAATTGTTTAATATTCTTTCTTGTTATTTTTACAAATTGTTTCGTAAGTTTACCTTAATACATACTACAAACTCGAATGTAAGTAAGTTTGTTCTCTTTTTGTTACAGAGAGAATCTCATAGAATGTGCTCGCCGAAAATGCACCCGAATCGACAACGCACCGTCTCATACTAACGAATATTGTCAATTACGAAACGCCAGCGATGGATTACCAACTTTTATACCTTTTGGTGGTCGCCACCCTTTCATGTAAGTACAATTTGCTTTTATCTGTCCATGAAATTCCTGTTCATAGAAGTATAACACCTTATTTATTTATTTATTTATTCATTAGTACAAATAAGACTTAATGGAAAACGATTCAAAAGTACTACTAATTATTGATATACATACATACTAAAATTACATATATAAACGTATAAATATATATAAATAACAAATATACTTACACATAGACATATACTATATTATGTGAGAATAATATAAAGATCACCTTAATTAATTAATAAAGTAATTAGTACACCTTAGTCTTTAGGAATGGAAAACGACTCAAAAGCGTAATATATCTGCCAGAATAATAACTTATTTGCCTAATAATTCCAACTTATTTGCCACAAATTGTACAAAAAGAAAATAATAATAATCGCCCTCCTTGTCAAAAGTACTTAATTAAAGAAAAAACAAAGAGCATAATTAAAGAAATAAGGAAAAAAAAATATCTTACTCCAATCTTCGTAAAAGTTAGCAATAAATTGGTGGATGGTAAGGTAACCCCTAAATTCTGTACAAATAGTAAAGGATATTTGAAATATATATTTTTATAATGACTTTTTTATGCAATTTTAAACATATATAAGTACGTACAATTTTACAAATTGTAAATAATATTGAAAAATCAAACAAACAATTTTATGATATTAGTTTCCAACATAGCTTAACTCAGTTTTTAAATTCAAAATATCACGTCGCTTTTTTCAGTATAGAAAATTTTTAATTAAATTAGTGTCGAGTAAATTTTTCATTTTATCCTGTATACTATCTAAAAGTTTATAATGATTCATGGAAGTTTTAAGAATAAACCGCTAAATAAATTTCGTTTATATTTAATACACAAATAGATATGATCCTTATCTGTATCTTTAAATAATATTAGCATATTTTACCTCGGTAATATTTCTATTTTCGTACAACCAAAGTCCACAGATGATATTACAGAAGTTATATTTTATATATTAAATCTCCATTCAAGGTTAAATCAACCCATCAATGGTATTTCTCATTCACCTTTGCGTAATACACTCGTATCGCTAAACTCGGAGTCAGTAACGAGATAAAGGCATCAGAATCACCTACTCTGCTACATTAGCCTAACTTTTATAGTAACTCTGTTCTTTGTAGCTAGATTATGCTACTTTTTAGGATTCCGTATCAAAAGTAAAAAAAACCCTCATGATGTGACTTCACCCATGACCCTATCCGTTTTTCTAGCTTTAAGTATTAGTAACTATAATAAAATATAATACTGTCGATTTGCAATAAAATATTTATTTATACCTTTTGTAAAAATATTATAAAAGTATTTATTTAACTAACTGAGGTTTCTTCAGTGTCAGCAACGCACGCGTAATACCTCCGGTATTGCAGGTGTTTATAGGCTACGGTAACCACTTACCATCAGGTGGGCCGTATGCTTGTTTGCCACCTCAGTGGTATAAAAATAAAACAGCTTTTTAACCAAAGTTATGACTGAAACAAACTATTTACCTTTATACAATCAACCTTTACATATCGATATATAATTACTTATTTATTATAATGTCTATATATAGATTGCTAATTAAAAATATATTATTACTACAAATATATTATTATTAAGACAAAACTATACAAGTACATGCAGATTTATTTAAGTATGAAAATCTCGGTGTTCGTATCCGACTCGCACTTGGCCGGTTTTATTTTATGTTCAATTTCTGCAAACGAAACTTTTAGCTAACATTTTAGTTACTTTTTATAGAGAGTTTGGACTTGAAAATCACATATGCGACCATAACAACCATCTGTTTTTAGATGGATTATTTTATTTATTTGCATTTAATATACAAGATAAGTTGTAACGGGTATAACAATCTAAGACCAGTGATAGTATTTATGAAACTGAACTACTAGTCCTATGAAGAATAGTCGAAATTTCGGAATAATTTCTGAACTTACCATACAAAGTATCCACCTAATTGATTTAATATAAAAGATTTTCTTTAGGAAACTTAGAATGATAAACAAGCTAACAGCCTACCACTAATGGTATGATGGGCACTCATAGTACCCCTCATGTGTTGCAATTCTTAGGGACTATGATGTATTGCCTACATACTCTGTAATTTTACTGCCATATCCTTACACTTAAACCGAAACACAGCCATGCAAGCACTTTTACTCCTCAGCAGAAACACAGTTGGAACAGATGTATCCATGCAGACAACTTTAATGCTTTTGAAAACTTTAGTCCTTGTGGTTAAGTTTTCTAGTTAGATTTATGAATATAATTAGCATTTTGACTAAGTAATATTATATTATAACACTTTCAGGCTTCCATACAGTATGAAAAAAAACGCGTGACGCGTAAACCAATGGCTAACATTTTTTCCACTCTCCCCTCCATCTATATTATTCTAGTCCATACTTTAGCGTCTTCTTTTAATATATATAAGCTTCTGTTAGCTACGAATACTGTTCACAAATAGTTTAGGTTGTATTTACAGAAATAGCAACACAACCAGCGTAATTTTCTCATTAGAATTAGAGCTCCCTGTCTGAGTAATTAATATTATCGCTCTGACACATGTCTCTTCATTTTGTGATGGTCTGTTTACTTCTTGGAAATGTATATCTATGAACAATATATTTCTGAACAAACAGAACTAGATTTGGCATCAGCTATTTAATAGTTTATGCTCTTTATAGACCAATAACTTACATTTATGGGACTGCACTCAATTTTTCATGCAATTTATGGACTGAACGAAATTTAATTTACGATTTTCGTTTCCTTAGGAAACATTATGTTTTGTATTTACTTATATAAAGTTATATAACAAGGTATATAGATTGATTTCATTAAGAGATTTGATGCCTTTACTAATATTATAAATGTTGATGGGAATTTGTCAAGCAAATTCTCTTTAACAGAAACAAACTTTACTTATTGGTTGTCCCTACAGTGTGTTAATTGTTCAAACAATTGCCATAAATTGGATATCAGTGAGGATAAAATGAGATCATTTGGCACATTGTGAGTAACGTGACAAATTTCGATATTAATCACGATCGTTTCCAGTAGAAATCACATAAACATCGATTAGACAAGGTTTATTGCTAACAATGGTGACCCCATAGTCAGTCCCCATTGCTAGCAATCCTCTCCTCTATCACTCTATTCAAGCCTGTATAGGTCACATGATGATGTCATACCTCACTTGATGTTACTCATATCCACTCAAGTATAACCGTTTGTCAGTAAAAAAGTAGAAAAAATATACTCATGCACATGATTTTTGTACATTTTTATTTTATCGACACTTAAACTTCTTAAAGTACCTTGATACTGGATCATTGACTCCGAATAGATATAAAATCCAATTGGACGTTTCCTATTACATAATCCCACTAATATCTATTAAACAGGCTTTAAGGTAAATCACTGTAATCCTTTAAAGTGATTGTCCGGTCCATTATAATATATCCTTACTAATAATTATGGAAATGAATCTGTTATCTGAGCTATATACACCGGGTACACAAAATTTGACTACTCGTAGCGGAATGGCATAGAAATATTTGTCGTCTTCTTTTACTTATTATTACGATGGTAAAAAATATATATAAACAAAAATCAAATAGGGCCAAACTGAAAAATAAACTTTATTGATTTCAATAATAAAATTATCAAGATCGATTCTAAATTAACGAAGATATCGCATAATACTGTCAAATTGATAACGTCCTGTTTTTACAAGTTATTTTATTATAAATAAAAGGTATAATTAATAAAACTTAGTTTTAAATTACCCGTATTTATTGGATTCATTTTTGTAAATTATGTAGATACTTGTAAAGATATAACTTCAAAAATACAGAGGTAACATTTAGGTTAAAGTAATTGAAAACACACAGATTGAGGCGTTCGGGCGCTTGAGGTCCTGATATGTATCTAAGGTGGACTATCTCGACCCACTTGGTAGCAAATGGTCCGAGAGTAACGTGGATATAGCGACACGACCCCATCTAAATTTCGTACCTCTTTCAAATAGATTTCAATTTACTACACAATTTTACATAGCAAAATCTTACACTTTATTCAACACTTAGTTCATAAAGATGTATTTGCCGTGGTCAGTGTATCAAATAAATAGGTAAACTAAAAAAAATATTAAATATTATTTTTTATTTTGCTGTTCCTGCAAATATTAATGCATTTAGTATGAGATACTCACAGAAGCTCTTTTTGTTACGGTAAAATATTCTTATTCGATTGATACTCCACATTGGGTACAATATTATCTTTTATACCAAATGTACTTTTACTCACCAATAAACGGTTGTATCATTGAATATTGTGCCTACATTAGACATCATCACACGCCATTAGTCCAACGGCACCCGTATCTCGTATGACATTTTTGTAAACACTTTTCTTAAGCCATACGTAACTACTATCACAGATCATTTAAGAACCAATGGCATTGAAGTAACATCCTTTCTGACTTTCTTCTTTATCGATACACTTTGCACGAACTCTTTACATAAAACTCTCGTAACTGAACTTGACATAAAAATGTATGTGCCACGAATTTCTTCTTCATGTTTTACTTATCAGCGGTTTATTTGTTACAACGATGTTGGATCCGAAACGGCTTTTATTGTATTTCATAAAGATTCACTTCTTTATAACAGATATTATACCATATATATATATATAGTAGTAGTAGTGTAGTAGTAATAGTAAGAATCACACCGTTGTGTGACTCTGTAGTTTAATTAATTGGGCAACGAAACATTTCTATGTAATATATTATTATTACAATTTCCTTATTTTTTTATATTTTCCTTTTCAGGTAGAATAGCAGTAGCCGAGGGGCCCATATATGATGGCAGTCAGCCAAACCCTCCCAGCCCACCGTCAGCAGCAGCTGGCAACTATCTCACGCAGACAGTATACGGTTTCCTCGATTTCACCACTACAATTGGCAATACCGTAATGGTCTTCTCTCCGCACTCGGCACCGCCTCCAGGTCGTCATTATATTTTCTTTTTAATTAAATAATAATATATAAGCATTATCGTGTAGTCCAGGCATAGAATAAGTCACCCCTTCCTTTCCCGTAGGTATCGTAAGAGGCGACTAAGGGAGGATGAGGGATAAGCAGCAGCATCCCTCCTAAAACACCTCTAAAATCTAATTGCGGTCGGCAAGCTTTCAATTTTAAATTAATTAATTTAATTAATAAAATTAATTTGATTGTAAATTATAAGTTTGAAATGAAGAAAGGCCAAAAACTATAATTTGATTACAGAGCATAGTATGAGGACCACATTGTCCCCAAAATATATTGGCTAAAGATTGTCAGTGCAACTAAGAAGAATCATATAACTAACAATATATTATACTTGCAATTATTATAGCACAATATGATAGTTTATATTTAGCATTATATTAAAACAACACGTTTATTTTCCAGAACCACCGAAAACGGAGAAATCTGTACAAGAAAACATTATTGAAACTAAACCACCTCCGCCATCAGTAACCAGTGTTAAACCTGAAACCATTAAACCAAGCAAAATAGCAGATAAGGATAAGACAAAGAAGCCAATTGCACCTGCCCCCGTATCCAGTGCTGTTTCAGTTACATCATCTCCACCTAAAAAAGATGATAAAATTGCTAATGTGCCAAAATCTAGCGCAAAAGAACAAAAACAGATAATTACAAAAGTAGAAGTAGTAGCTGGTCCATCAAAAATAATAGAAAGCCCTAAACAATCATCTAGCACTCCTAAATTATCATCACAAAAACCAAATAAACAAAGCTCTCAGTCTAGTAGTAAAAAACAACACAAAAGTGAAACTATTAAATCTGTTACTAATATTGTTAGCAGTAAAGTCGAAGTTAAACAAGCTCCTCCTCCATCAATAATTAGTTCTAAAGTAAGTAGCGTAGTTCAAATTAAATCAAGTCAAAATGATGAAGAACCTGCCATCTTAATCACGAATAACAATATCGGGGAACCTGAATATGATTTCTTATCCCGCCAACCATCTGAATTTGTGGAAGAGACATACAAAGTTATTAATATAAGACCATCTAAAACACATGGTCAAAAATCCAAACCAGGTCATAAAAATAGATTACATCAACCAACACCACCACCAAATGACGAAGAACAACCTCTTGGTTTAGTTACAACTCTCGGAGGTACTATAGTAAAAGACGGGCTAACAACTATTCATGAAACTAGTGTTATCGGTACATATATATCTGGTAAATACGCTCAAGTATTAAATAGCAACTCAAAAGTTTTACCAGCATCTGGACATAGAGCAAAAATAGCACCTACTCCTACTCACAGAATTTTAAAAACTGCAGCACCTGGTTTATCTAAAAATCATAGATTTAATTTGGAACCAACACCTTCGCTTAGCGATGACGAAAATAACTTTAGCAAAAGTACACGGAAGCAAAGCAGTAGCGGCAATTCTTTTAAAAACCGTCATAGAGCTCAAAATCATCCAGACAATGATAGTCATGATAATTCTACGCCAACACAAAGTAAGAAATTTAAAAACAGAAACTCTCAACGAACACAAAGGTAATTTTTTAACAAATCTACAGTAATGCCAGCTGCATCATGCTTAACATCATCATCTTATTGCCGACTTATAACGTGATCCATCTATACATTTGCATACATTTATAATATTTCAAGTAAATAATATATCATTTCAATGCTGCTTGTAGCATTTGAAAAACTATTACAGTAGATCACGTTTTGTCGACAATAAAATGTTATTGTTCTTATTTTCAGTACTCGTTATGGTCGGCCGGCAAAAAGTCCTCAACTGGCTACCGTCTCTGTTTTCAGTGAAACGACAACAGCATCATTCTCTAATAAAAGAAAAAGTAATCGTCATTCAGGGCATAAAACAACTGTGACTCCTTCGAGTAATGACAGTCAATCAAGACGAGGTTTTAAGCCACGCATTCAAGCAACGCCTGTTGATGCTACTCCAGCTGCTTCTACCAGTATATATAAATTTAAACTAAATCGTGCGCCAGGATCTGGGCGTTGGCAGTACAAAACAAGTCCAAAACCAAAAGTAACGATACGCAAAATCAACGATGATGAACAACAAACGACACCTATCCCTAACCCACTGATTGATGACCCACAATCAAACGACATTTCTCCTCAAGCGAGGTCAGATAATGATCTGGAGTTATCAGGATCACAAAGTGGTCCCGGCACACTTTTTGAAAATGACACCGAAGATAATTCAATTGAAAAGCTACCACCAGTTGAAACGCTTAAAGTTGAAATATCTACTCCCGCTGATTTTCGAGATGTTTATTATGAAATAGCTACTATCAAGTCTCCTTACACTTTCCAGGTGAGCATATATTTTTACTGTTTTAAGTACTTACCTAATCTTACAAATAAGTAATTAAACATAATTTGTATATTGCATATTTACTACTTACACTAGCTATATAGGTCTCAGCACAGAATAGGCCACCCCTTCCTTTTCCATGGGTATCGTAAGAGGCAACTAAGAAAGATTGTGGTGGAGGGTAGGGCAGAAATGTCCCTCTTAAACATCACCGAAAGCAAAACTGCGGTTGCCAACTAGCTTGCCAAGCGTAGCAACTACTGACAACCCTTATGGGGAAGACTATGTTCAGCAATGAATAGTTAACTTCTGATATAACAACTACTTGTTCTAACCTGCGGCTTTGTCTACATGGTTTGAAATTAAAAATGTAATTATTTATAATGTGAGGATATTTTATAATGCCGCTAAACAAATCTTTATAGATTTGTTTATATAATGTAAAAATAAATAAAAACGATTTATAATACGTTATATATATATTGTATTATCTTACTAGAATTATAAAATTGTAACCAGATGATATCTGTACATAAGAGATGTTTTATTACAATAAGTTTTAGAATTTTTTTTCTGTCTGTCTGTCTATATGTTTGCTCTACCATTACATGAAAATTGTAGATGAAAACGAATACAAGTTTTACAGTTGTATTCCTGAAGATCTAACTTCAAAATTGGTGTATGTTTTATCTTAATATGCCACCTATAATATTCCATTGATTTCCCTACTTTTGAAATCCACACATACTAAGTAGCTGTCAAAAAGCTAGTAAATACGAGTAATATATGTATACTTGAGTTAAAAATTTTATACATATAATTATGTATCAATGGCGTTTCTTAAAGATTAGAAAGAGTACATACAAGTATCATTTCTTTGTATTTCTTAAATTTGAGCGTGATATTAAAACAAAAACTTAAAATGTCGAAAAAAGTAAGCACTATATTTTAAGATTATTTTGAAACTAAATTATTAAATGAACATTTTATTACAGGTTGGACGTGTCAAAAACACTCGTATCATTACCGTTACCTCTACAATAGAAAAACGCATCGAACCAACCGCTATTAATTCGCAAAGTTCTCTCAACGAACCGTTGACAGAAAACATATTAGCGACTGCATCACCTTATGGTAAAGATCATAATTTAGATTCCAGCATTGCAACATTACCCGCTATTACTTTGACCTCAGATATGGAAACTCCACCATTGGAAACCGTAACTGAAACATTCAGTACGACGCAACATATGTTGAAAACTCACATTTTACCTGTGGTAAGAGATGTTAATATAACTAACAGCCTCACATTCATACAAACATATGAAGTGACAAGATTTGTAACCGCTACAAAAACTTTACCACCAATGGACTTCTTCCAATTTATACCTAGCAAAACATTAAAAGAATTTAACAGTCGTTTAGACGAGGCTGGTTCGGAATTACATTTAGAATTAGACTTTGGAGACAGCAATGAAGACGAAGATGGTGTTCCGAGACGTGTTTTCCCTCCTGACTTGGATCTAGCAAACATTGGTTCCGATTTTGATCTTACTGAAGTAGACAAATACAGATTACCAGATAATCACTTAAGATCAAAAAAGGCCCATGGTCAAAATAAATCTAATCATGTAACAGAAGCACCTTCTCCAGCGACGCCAGCCTTGACGCCAGAACAAGCCCAGCAACTTGCTCTCCTGAGACTACTAAATCCTGCCGCTGCTGCTCAAATCCCTAACATTGTCACTACATCTAAACCTGTCTTGAAATATGAAACTATTTACGAGTCCCATGTCATACCAATATTTGACGGTAAAAATACAATTCATAGCACTATCTCTAGACCTGTAGCTACTGTTACAAAAACAGACTACGAAATTGGAACGAGCAGTCTCCCAGCACTTCCATTGCAACCCATTAATCCACTATTCCCACAACAACAATTCACAGTAACTTCGACACCTGTTGTTATGAACACAGAAGTTACTGCTACGGACAGTCAAGTTCTAAAACTGAATTTTGGTGCTAAAACAGTGTACACCACACTGTTTACAACAAAAGTTGTGCCAACCATATTAACTACGTACGTTACATCTTCAGTGCCAGTGGCGCCGAGCGCCGGTTTCCCAGGATACTTCCCCGCACCATTCGCACCATTCCCTTATGTAGGTTAATTATTACTTTGTAATATATATTCGGACTGACATGATTTATAAAATTATGGACGCTGTAAAAGTGACAATAATAACTCAAAGTTTCACGCGAAAAACAACTTTTAACGTGAGTGCGTTATTGTAGTGCACGTGATAAACTATATAGCGAGTGGGTGAGCTGTAAACAGTGCAAAAGCAGCAAAATGTTGAAATTTATAGCCTTTGTGGGAACACGAACTCTAAACTGTATTTCTTCTAAGTTTCGTGAGCCCGACGCGGAGCGGTGTTGCGTGTTACTAAGACCTCATGTGAGGTTTTAGTAACACGACTAATGAAAAAGTTCAATACGTAATAAGTAAACAACTACCAACTATTTACTTTCGTAATCTTTAAACGCCTTGTAAATAATGTTATTTATACTAAGTAATATATTGTACATAATAAGCTTATATATATATTATATGTTCATGTTATATATACATAAAGTACTTAAATCTAAGTGAACTTGTAGATAATTGTAACTTTGTACTATATACATTTTGATATGATTTATACAATGTATTGCTTAAACGAAAGGGATGTACATTAAATAAAATATTTTCCATTAGATTTTGTTTATTTTAATCTTAATGTAGTACTTTAAAAAAATATGTTCACGGGATTATAGTCCCATATGAGGCAAACAGAAATAATATTGATTGATTGATGTCATCACTCGTGTCACTCGAAATACTCACATTTTCTCGAACATATTTAATACTGTAATCAGGGTGCAAAGCCATCATTCGCTCTTTGATTAACACTATTTTATATCACTGGAAAATTAGAAATTTATATAAATGTATAAGATTATCAATAGTGTAATAAACTTAATAGTTCAATAGCCTAATGGTCACGGTGCTTTTAGGTTTATTAAAAATAATTTTCTATTTTTTTTTCTTTTAGTTTTTATTTATAATAATTTTAGACATATTTTCTTCTGTATTAGGCTTAAAGTGATAGACATATTCTTTGTGTACTCCAACGTTATTTTTAAATGATAATATTCATATTCATAGAATTGAAATTACGTTTTACCTTTTCACAAAGAAAAATATCCAATTTACTCTAGATCCAGTCTAATATTTCACAGAGTTGAGAGGTTTATTTCCCATGATATCTTAATTAAAGCCGTTTCATACTGAACAGCGGCGCCGAAAGAAACAAAGAGGCCTCAAGTTATGAAACTAAGATTAATGGAAGCTGTTTTGTAAACTTAATAAGTAAACCTTAATCTTAGAAATTATTTTTCTTATAAATTAGGTGCTGCAAATAAGAAAAAAATATCGACACTGTTTATAACATAGTCAAGCTTTTTAATGCTATAATTTTAAGGCTGTTTACATTGCGAAAACTACGATGTGTAAATTTGGATTTAAATAAACGACGAGTATAAGCTATCACTTTTAGAAAATATCTATTTATCATACCTACTCACATTAGTATGGTAATTTAAGATATTGTTTCATCACAATTGTTACTGAAATAAATTAAGATGTATTTACATCATTACACCACAATAAAAATGTTCACAACATTGTAGACTGCTGTATCCGCTGATATTTATGCTCCTTTTCACTTTGGGTTTGCTGGAAAATAACTCTTTTAAAGTTCAGCTCGCATTTGTACATTTGATTACCTCTGTCATACTTTTTTAACTAGTGTGTACAACACAGTATTAAATAAAATAAAATAAAAACTGACTATCTAAATATGTCTAAACCTTTACAAATAAAATATTATTATTAAAATCGGTTTAAAAGTGACATATGATACAATAAAATTGAGTTGAGATCTTTAAATGGGTTGAACATATATTCCTCATGTAAACTTTACCTGTAAGCTTTACTAATAGGTAAATAGATATGAAAATATGTTTCGACGGTATAAGGAAGCTACTACGAGAAAAATAGAATAAGCAACCAAGGTAGATCTCAGGAGCTCAAAATATCTTACATCCGGGAAAGTTTTCCGTTCCTGTTGCGAAAACATTTTACAAGCTGACTAATGGTGACTGTTCACAATGTTTTTAAATTTATCTTGTACACGTGACAATTTTTCTTTTTACACAGGAAAACATCTGTTCAAAATCTTAAGTTCGTGATGTTCCTCTAACATTAATTATTATTACCGCTCCTAATATGCAAAAGTATACTTAAATTTCCTCCTTTACGATTTCATATAAAATAGATGTTATAGGAAGTTGATACTTGTAAGTTTTCAAGAAGTGACTTATTAGACACTTCTTGAAAACTTTACTTAATCTATCAATTAGAATATTTTTTGATAACTGACGTCCCTCAAACACTTGCTAAATGCTAAACGTGACTAGTGTAAACAATGATACACAAATTTAAATGTTTAAATTTACTAAGTTATTATCAACTTATTAAAATAACTGTTGCCTTTATGTGTGACTTCTCTCAAAGAGATTTTTCTAATTTCAATAATTTTACTACAACAAATAAATCTATCTACCTACAAGAAATCCATCTACCTACCTACTAATATTATAAATATTTATTGTAAAGAAGTTTGTGTGATTGGATATTTATTACTTACATTTAAACGGCTAAACGAATTAAATGAAATTTCTTACACGGCTAGGTCATGTGCTAACTTGACATATCTGATGATTTTTACACTTATGTACGCGGGAAAAAATAGTAAATATGACATTTTCCTTCAAAGGAGCAGTCTTCAAACTACAATTATGCATCAGATATTTTTAATATAAAGAAAAACTATTTATTTATTTCAATTTCGCCGCTCATTAATTTTTAGAAAATATAAAATTATCTATTTCTAATTTAAATATAAATTCTTCCTTTTAATGTATGGTACATATTTAATATATATTTATCTGACCTACTCATTCCATAAATAAACTTTCCTCAGGAATGGCGAAGAATGGGGCGTCACAGTGTATTTTGTGATGTTTATGTCTATAGGCGAAGGTGTAACAGTTAGCGCTGAAGGGAGAAGGGATTGTTCGTAATAGCAAGCAACATAATTGATCTATTATTGAATTTGATTTCATGATGGCTAACCTACCTGCTGCGTCCTTACTGATGCCCCGCCAGTGTATACCGATAGCGTAGGCGAGAATACCATTTCATTATCATCCATTAAAAAAAGGGTTATCACTTTGAATCAAGTCAACAACGAGCTCATTTGCCATTTTAATTATCATAAAAGAAATGATAAATTTTTACTATGTTTCACCCAAAAGTTAATCCCAAATTTAAAATTATAACATGATTAAAAGAGCATTTTAACCAGACATATAAGCAACAAACTTATAAGTAAGGACTTGAAGTTATAATTGAATACAATATGTTTATTGTTCATTTACTGACATATTGAATAACAAATTAATTAAGTAGTTGTTTCAATTCCGTAGATATCCCTCGCTCACTGAACTAAACTGCCGTAGGTTATACCTTACATTCATTTTGATATCGGCTCAGTCTGTCGATGAAAGGTAAATAATGTTTCCTTCTGTTTCATGTCCAATATTATACGATATTAAAATGATTGTAAGGTACGTTATGTATGTACTTAATTGCTCTTGAACTTGATTATCAAATCTAGTTATTTTAATTATTTATAGATTCATTATAAGATTATATAACAATATTATATAATATAATTAGTGTACGCTGAAAAGCATTGATATTATACATGTATATACATATATGTATATATATATATATATATGTATATATATATATATATATATATATATATATATATATACATATATATATATCCGTACGAGTATCTTAAATATTTCTATATAACATCGAGCACGCGGCTCACCTGATGATAAAGATGACTGCCTCCCCGCAACATCATAGTAATTGCAGTTGTTTTGCCGGCTTTTTAAAAAGAAATATGCTCTTTTTTTTAAGATTTCAATATCGTATCTGTTGGGAAATACCGCTTCCATTACTTACAATCCCTTTTCGCACTCAGTATGGCTGTTGAAAGACAGCGATGTCCCTACAACATGTTAAGCACATAATAAGACATACATTAAAGTTTATACATATATTTACTAATTGACCCGGGAAACGTTTTTACCGCCACTAACCGATTTAACTTTTTCTTATTGGGGTAATACTGTCCTATCTCGCAAATTCAAGTAGACCATTACACATTTAATAAATTTTATTAAAACTAATTGAGCAGTATCATAACACGGGATTTTTATGTACTGTACAAACTGTTTCCCGTAGCTTCACTAACGCTAAATCCATTATATCCTGCTCCCATGGGACATCGCTTCTCAGAACTCACTTGCATTATAAGTATTATAGGCTTAAAGTGTCTCAGTGCAAAATGTCTTGTTTCTCGACTCTGCAATTTCGGCCGTTAAGACAGTTTAAGAGCTGTCAGTTAGTTTCTCTTTAAATAAACTAATATACTTTATTTGTCAGAATCTGTTAGATAGAAAATAATAAATCATATTTGCTGCACTATTCAGACAATGGAACTGACAATATTTTTATTGAACAGACAGAGCGAAGATTAAATCGGCTTAAATTTCATATTGGTAGCATCGACAAAGCGGTCTATTTTTTTCTATGATCCAAAACCTGATTGGTATTCGGTGATAGACTTAGGAATACTTAGTCTGTGATAACTATAGGATTTTAAAACTGAAGTTATTGAAATATTTCTAAATTTCATTAAGTGTAGGTGTAGGTAATAGGCCACCCCTTTCTTTCCCGTGGATATCGTAAGAGGCATCTAAGGGAACTTAATGGTAGAGGGATGGGCAACAGAGTCCCTACTAAAACATCACTAAAAGCCTAACTGCGGTTTCCAAACTGCCTGCTAAGTGTGGCAAAACTCCCTTTATGGGGAAGGTTTATATTCAGTGGACAGTTAACGGCTGATATAATGATGATGACATTAGATACACATTTAAAGGTGACATTATTTATTATATATAACTAATACAAACATGAAAAATGCCGTGTCGGTCCCGGCACAGAATGGACCACCTTTTCCGCGAGTGTCGTAAGAGGCGACTAAGGGAGCTTATGGTGGAGGGATTGGCAGCAGCGTCACCCATAAAACATCTTGTAAAAGCCTAACTGCGGTTGCCAACACGCCTGCCAAGTGCGGCAACTACTGGCAAAACTCCCCTTATGGGGAAGGCTTATGTTTAGCAGGAGACAATTAAGAGCTAAAATAATTTAAAAAAAAAACATGAAAAACATGTCTGTAGGTAATAATTAGGAATTACCATATAACATACCATCATAATCAGATGAACTGTCGACTTCAATCATATGAAACTTTATCACCAGCTCACAGTTTTTATGTATGAAATATGGTGCATTTTTCAAAAGCAAGCCGTATCTGTCGAGCCACAAATCTACGCCAGTGCAGCGAGACTCGAAGCTCTGATTGAACGAGGTTAGGCGAAATCGGCTTATCGTCCAATGGCGAATAATTTCATTTGAGTATGCACCGGCCCCTTGTGACTCACCTGCTACACTGTCGAGCAAATTGACAACCTGTCTGTAACGTACATTACTATTGTGAATTAAAAACGTAAATCCTGTTGTATCCGTAAGTATTTTTTTTTTAGCCAGTTCAGTTTGTCCTTACCAGTGTTTGCCAAAAGAGAGTAAGATTGGAATTTTATTTCACCTATCTCTACTGGAAGAGAGCTATTTTTTATAAGTACACTGTTGAACATAAATAAGTATATAATGACCGTACTGCGCGGTTTCAGAGATGATGGTTTCCTCCCACGAACACTCAGGTTGTGGAATGAGCTCTCTGCCGAGGATTTCCCAAGAGACTACAGCATGGGGTTCTTCAAAAGGGGGGTAAAGAGGTTTCGTCAGGGTCGACAACACACGCGTAATACCTCTGGTATTACAGATGTTCATAAGCTACGGTAACCACTTACCATCAGGTGGGCTGTATACTTGTTTGCCATCTCAGTGATATAAAAAAATCTGTATACTATACAGATATACTATACTATATAGATATAAAATACATATTATAGTATTTACCTTATAGTAAAAATATAATAAATAAAAAAATATACCGAATTATTAATAAAATATATAATAATATTTTTTATATATCTATAAAAAATATTAATATAATAGTTCGTTTAAACAAATATTATTGCCCTTTTTACAGTAAGCGAAGATTGAATAATAAATAAACAAATACAGAGTCATCTAGTCTCAAACCAAACAGAGCTTGTACTAGACAACTGGTAAAATGACCCGCCACTTTTATATGGCGGGTAAGAAGACCCGTCGTGGTCGATGAAAATAGCATACATAGAAAATACTTGGTTACCAATATAAACATAGTCATGTGTGCGGGATCGTACCCTTGACTTTTTTCAATGGATGGTAACTCCGCCTGCGGTAACGGTATACGCTAACGAGGCACCAGTGAGGATAATAAGGCAGGTCAGTTAGCTCACCGTGATGAATACACTCGCGATTATACTTAGGTGATGTTTTAAGACTCATTATGTTTGATGAATACTTTCTATAAGGATTTGCATTCTATTAAATATAGCGAAACACACTAAACAATAAAAAACAAAATGTAACATCATATTATCTAAATATGTTTCTGGCAAATAAATTATTATTATTACACCTGGAATTTAGCACGATGGTTTCTAGGGGGAACCACTTGGAGGTCGCCGTGATAGGTATATTGCTAGCAATGAGATTGATAATTCGCTTTACTAACAATCTTTCCCCCGCCGAGTTTTAAATGTTTTTAAAATTATATAAAGCTCTTTCAAAGGAAATATAGTGTTTTTTTTTTTTATATAACACAGGAGGCAAAAGAGCATGCTGCTCATCTAATGATAAGTGAGTACCGCCGCAATTCCTCAGAGCACTTCCCATGATAAATTTGGTAAAAGATGCACAGCACTAATTTTTAATTTGTGAATTGTTTTGCAGTATTTGCAGTTGCTAATAATATTTTTATTATTATGTTACAAAAAAATGGGAACTGTCAAAGAATTTTATATTTTCGACATGGTGATCAATTTGGATAACTCAGGTAATTCCTAATTTATTGTGTATATATATGTATGTGTATATATACTCGTATGTATGTGTGTATATATATATATATATACACATACATATATATGTTTATCCATGTGTTTATATATTTACCTTTATAGTTGTTAATGTTAATGTGTAAGGTAAATATTTTTTTATTGTATAAATTACTAGCGACCCGCCCCGGCTTCGCACGGATTTACACTTTTTAACATCTTTTGAATGGAATATAGCTACGATTTGAAAAAATCAATAAGTAATCTGCAGGTATCGAAACAATTTTGAATACAAAATAATTTATTTGGATAAGGTTATTAGTCCTTATAGGTATGAATAACATGTACAATGCGACAGCATTATTTTTTCTATTTCCATGACTTATTAAATTCGTAATAACTATTGAATTGAATAACTGATTTGAACAATTAAAAAAGTAATCTATATAAATTGAAACAGTTTTGAAAACAATATGATTTATTTCGATAAGGATTTAAACAGAAGTATGAATAACATGGTGTAATTTTAGTCACTATTTGTATCAACTTTTTTATAATATTAGTGTAGATACTCATATCTATATTAGATAAATATAAAATTTTTACATCGTAGTATTTTTTACCAAAATTCAAAAATTTCAATTCGCATATCTTTAATTAATTGAAAACGATATTCATATCGAAAATGAAAAACTGGAATAGTTAAACTGAAAATAATCTATTTTTGAAATCGGTTAAACCTGGCAACCCTGCGACGAGAGCGACATTTCGCATAAGACTTTCAATGGCGATGTATCACTGTTACTCCTTACACTCTGGTATCGAACGCATGTCACCGTAGAGATATTACTATTAATATAATTACACTTTTTTATACTATTAATTATTTTCTAACGGACTTATTATTGTCTAAAATTAATCGATAAATAAAAGTGGTAAATTTTAATCCATTTATCCCTACTGGTCTCTTAAAAGTAACAAATAATTTTACTCTTACCACCCAAAATAGAAACGTTTGTATAAATAAGTGGCACTTGTCATTTTTTCTATTTTTAACTATGATTACAGTACAGATTAGAATCAGATGATAACTATTTAAAACATTAACTCATTTTTATCGTTTGTATTCTAAAATGGCTTTGGAACCTGGAATCACACGATGAAATTCAGCCAAAGCTAAATTTCACATATACAATAAATGTTATATTGCAACGCCCATGTATAAAATACACAGGATAAAAAATGCGTATTTAAAAACTACGATAAAATAATAAATACAAGTTTCCTTGAAACGGAAATTCGTTGTAATAAAAAAAAGTCTCAACTGTTTAGGTGCTAATGTTATCAGTAAAACGTAAATGTCTGATTAATCAATATGAAGGTCATAATACTTAGAAGGTCGATACCTAGAATCGCATTGTTAATAAAATTTTATATCAGTATTGATAAAATGCTCGCGAAAAATTAACATCGTAATCCCATGAACAATATCAGATGTCCCAAAACATTATAATATTTTAATTTGAATTTTCCTTATTTTGTACTGGCTGCAATGACTTCTCCATATGGTACATCGTTAAATGCATTAGTAGAGAAACAAAACTCAAATTAAACGCACCTACAAAACTACCTAATGGCTACCTTTGTAAAAGTAGGCTTCATCTTACACTATATCTCATAAGGAAAGTCCCGTGTCCAGCAATAGAACACTAATGGGTTGTTGTGATTACACCAAAATACAACAACGTACTATAATATTTATAAAGAGAAGTGTAGCTAAAATAGTGCAGAAAAACTAGATTTCCTTCTTGGTCTCTTCTCGATCTTTATATTTTCAAATTTAAATGCATAAATATATATATGCATATATGTATATATATATATATATATACATATATATATATATATATATATATATATATATACATATAAATATACATATACATATACATATACATATACATATACATATACATATAATATACATATAATATACATATACATATACATATACATATACATATATATATGCATATATATACCTAAGTTATAGACTTAAAGACTATGAACATTCTACGTATACGGTATGAAAAACAAGATACCTACTGTAATACAGTCTCTAATACAATAAGTATAAAGGTTTTATTTCTCACACACTCACTACATAAGTATTATAGGCGACAATGAAAATCATTAGTGTAGAATTATTTTGTCATTTTTTTCCCCAGGTACTTTTATAAAAACTGTCCAGTTTTTTGATAAAACACTACCTTATAAGTTTGAATATACTAATGATTTCAATTTCACTTGTAGTATACAGTAAAGTCTATTTTTTTGCGTCATAATTATCTATTCTATTAATATGTTTCATTTTATTTCTATAAATTTAGGTATATCTAGGTATGCTTTAATTTATCCATGTACCTAATCTTATCCATAAAATCATTGCAGTAATCAAATACTTTTAGGTACTTCAAAGCGGTAGTTACAATGTTTCGATAAGGAAATCACAAAGATATAACGATAATTTTCAGTTTACGTCAAGTAATTCTTTAGTCCTTAGTAAACAATAAACTTAGTCGAATGTAGAGTGACAAATTAATTGATAATATATTTTAATTAACATGTTTAAATAAAGTGGACAATGTGTCAATACAATAAAATTGTGTTTTCAGTATTAATTCTATTACCATGTAAGTACTTACATATAACAATGTTATATTAACCGAACTAATTATTTTTCAAAGAAATATTGGTCAAATAAGGGAAAAAAATTAGAGACTCCTATGAATTATGTACTAAATACTCCCATAGTAACTTGACAGTTGTATGCGTGATATCTATATTAGTAATTCGTTATTTTTCATGAATTTTCAACCCATGAACCTCCCTATCTAGATATATACATCAGGTGAACAGGCAGCTTGTTTGCCATTCGAAGTGTCATAAATTTTTTTATAGAGACAATGGAATAAAGTACAAGTATTTTGAATATATAATCGAAATTCTCATATTCTGTTGTTATCGTATATATAAATATATAATAGTTATTTTTATATAAACTAGTAAAAGCTAACGCTGTACGTAGCAAATGTAGGATTTAACGATGTACAATTTTAAAACAATTATTTATAAAACTTCTTATAGTGCATTTAATGTGAATTATGAAAGAAGATTTCATGGTATTCTACCACTGCTACTACTGCTTCAAAATGATACTAATTATTTTAATTAAACCTCGTGAAATGTTTTATAAGTTATATGAGGCGACTGAGAACATGTTGGCTAAAAATGTACACGAATATACACATAGCACGAGGTACATATGTACCTCGTGCCATGTGGCTGTGATATTTATTTTTTATGAGGTAAAAATATAAAACTAATACTAGAAGTAATTACTAGTGAGGATGTCAGTTTAGTCAGATCATTTGGCCCATTGTGTTAAATTCGCTCAGAATCAACCGTGATGAATTCCAAGGAGGACCACGCGGAGATCGACCAGATAACACATTCTTGAATCGGAACAGAATTGGGTGAAAATTAACAAGTTACACTTATATATATCTAGTAAAATAGCGTAAAGAGAAGCAGATATATAAGCTGCAACAATAGCCTTTTAATGATTACTCTATATATATATAAAACCAATTCGAGAGTACAAAACATCACAATTGCGATATCGATCGATCGATCGGAATTGATTTAAAGAGTAACCCTATTAATCGGATTTATCTAAATTGCTAATAACGGAGACTGTTTAGCCCCATTATTAACAAAAAATTCCCATGGCGACATATATTAATTACCTCTAATCTGCAGTGCAATACACAATTATTTTTACTAAAAAAAGTACATTAACACTGTAGGTGCAATTTCGGTATCGGCCCAATCGAACAGAGTCTCCAGATGCTTCCAGTACACATGGCTAGGGCCCAGGTATAACAATGAGAGCGTGTTCCAAAACGCCACATGTCAAGACGCCACCAGGTTAGCCAGCGGGGTTCCGTGTCAGAGACCACTAGTCGTCACCTGTAAGTATATTGCTGTCAACACATCAGGATCTGTCTCACTCATGATTGTTATTATTTTACTCATACTTTGCACAAATGAATATAATGACAACTTGATGATGATGTAACGGTTTAACTCATTGCATTAATATACAATGTTTATGATTTTGATTCTCGCACAAAACACCCATTTATATTTTTTAATATAGCATTTTAATGTATATGATTTTTTTCTGTATATAATATGTTACATATTTTACAAAAAAAATATATTTAAATTTAATAAATCCCAGTACAAGCTGCACTTAGTTTTGGACTAGATGGCGCTGTGCAATATGTTCACTGTTATTATATCTAGCAATATAATAGATTATAGTAGAAATTACATAAAATATAAGATTTATTTATGTTATCAATATTGTTAATTGTTTTTATCTGGTAATTTGTACTATACTCTCCTTTTTTGTAATCATGAATAAATGATCATGAATAAATAAAGAAAAATAGTAGAAATTACAAAGATTAATTAAAATTTAACACGTGGATCCTTAGAATCACTCACAAATAGGTACATTTTTTTAATAAAATGTCCATTATAACAATTGGAAATTAAATATTTTGTAGTAACAAAGACACGCGATGTAAACAAATTTGTTCATAAATATGTACGAGTATACTCGGTTTTCTCTCACTTGGCATATTTAGATATTCAAAATAACAGTGCATGAAATTAACAAATAAAATGTTTATATATATGAACAAATAGCAATAGAATAATACAGAAATAAGCAATAGATATGAAATCATCGTAATATTATTTCTATCTTTTTGTCTATCAAAACAATTTTATCATAATAATATATACTATGAACACATACTAAGTATATCAAAGTACGAGTATAGAAACATAGATAAAACGCTAAAAAATGAAAGAAAAATAATAACCATATGTCATGGTCATATACTTACTACCTTCAACACAGGACTACTATAGGCTAGAACTAGAATATATAGTATAGTATATAAGCAATCATTTTGTACTTTACAGATGACGGCACTTGGCCTGATACCGAATATATTTGGGCACATCATCTTCTAGAGGCTTCGTGCATATTAGCGGATAATGACGTGTGCGCCACTTACACTTATTACTTTAATGGATTTGGTAAGAATAAATATATTTAAATAATTAATTTTAAATAAATATGGAACAACAATTGTTTTACAATTACCAACTTGGCGGTTGCTAACCTCCCTGTCAAGCGTGGCAACTACTAGCAATACCCCGAATAGATCTTCCTATATTCAACAGTAGATAATAATGGCTGATATCATCAACAATTTTGAGTCTATAGTCATGATCAACTTTCGAATATGCAAAGAAATATCTATGAAAAATAAAGGGGGCTACTTTGGTTTTAAAAAACTACATATACATATAACACCTTGACTACCCAATACGGTATTTACTCTATTAGCTAGTCCATGTCTATATCTTCAAGTTAGTTTATTTATAAAACAACAGATTATATAGCCTAGTCAAAAGATTAAATGTATATCTACAAAAAAAAATTATATAATATTTTACTGAATTATGGAATGTTACAAATTTATTAAAACATAAAATTTATTTAGTCCACTTTCATAAGGATTAGCAACACGAACGTGACACCTTTGGTACTCTAAACGTCCACAGATTACCGTAACCGATTGTCATTAGACGGTCTATACTCGTAATCTGTGTTTCTATTGTAATATAAGAAGTCGACTTCTTCCGCAATCCAATTAATAAACTATTTCTATTTCAGTGGAAAACTCGACCGCTATGTGCACTCGAGCAATAGACTCAGATGGGGAAGCAGTCAGGTCTGGATGTTATACACAGACTAACGGCAGCTATGTAACCTCTGTGTGCTTCTGTCGTCCCGTACCAGGTGGAGTACCGTGCAATAACGCAGTATTACCAGTGCTCACGCCAACACTGATTATTATGTTGACCGGTGTTCTTCTGCTTCAAAGACATAATAATCTATCTAATGAAAAATAATCTGTGATTTATTTAATATATTTTTCTATGAACTACTAAATATAAGTTATATTAAATCAATACTGTTTCATTATATAAAGTGTTACTTTCTTTAATCACACAGTTTGTGTTTTTATTATTAGTTATCCTTTATTATTAGTTATCCCAAAGAGGGTTGACGTCAGGCAGGTGGCCGGTCCTAAAACTAAAAACCAAATCTTTTTGTAATATGGATAAAATCATATTACGCTGACCCCAAATGATTGGGATAAGGGTAGGAAGATGATGATGAGTTATCCTTAGCTCGTATTTTTTTTTTGTACTGCTTACAATGCCAAACTGTTAGCAAAAACACCAGTTACAAATAGATATACTCATTAATATCTCTCACACCATCTAAAAATAGACATCGCTCTTAGCAATAAAACCAGACCGTTCTCTTAAATAAATACCAGCAGTTAGCTGTAATTTCAAAATAATCGTGAAATTCCGATGGTATATTTTTTTTAAGATACTCAGAATGGCAAACTATTAAACGGTCCATTTGAAAAAAAAATGGGTGTGTAGGTACAGCCATATCTATGCTACGCCTCATGCGTTGCCATTCATGATGACTTTGGTATTGCTTCCATACCTTATACTTTCACTGCCATATCCCACTCTTGAAACCGAATTAGATACAACTAAGGAGGAAGGGATTGTTAGTAATGCGGACTACTAGTCTTATTGCTAACAATACACCTTGTCAGGTCAACCTCCACGTAGTCTCCCCCTGGAAATCATCGTACTGAATTCCTGGTGTATTCATCACGATAAGCTAACTGATCTGCCTTAAGGGGAAGAGATTATTAGTAATACGGACTCCTAGTCCTATTGCTAGCAATATACATTGGCAAGTCGACCTCTACGTGGTCACCCCTGGAAACCATCATGCTGAATTCCAGATGTATTCATCACGATCGGCTAAATGACCTGCCTTTTTGATTCTCACCTATCATCCATCATCGCCAGCGTGAATTAGCGCAGGGTGTATTCATCACGTAAAAAAAAAAAGCCTTTACATCACATGGCCAATATATAGATTATTATTATTATTATTTACCTATATTATTTACACTTTAATAAAGCTCAATGTTTTGACAAATTGAATAAAAATTATGATAATGTAAATAGTGCTTTGCTGTGTGCTCTTGCATTGGTTTACAACTAATAATCTAATATTAAACGCTAATTTGAACAAACAAATATTCTTACCGTAGCCTCACAATCCACATATGCAAACATTTTGTATATACGCAGTTATCTCCGTTTCTTAAAAAGAGCAATCTCAATAATCTTAACACTAGATACATATATAAACTTACTGTTCCAAAGTATCGTTTAGAAAAAGTTACAAAGTTTTTTTTTTATACAACTTAGAATGGCAAACAAGCTAACGGCCTACCTGATGGAAAGTGGTAACCGTCGCCTATAGATATGAGCAGTACCATGGACATAACAGAGTATACTGTTTTGCCTATAATACCCCTCATGCGTTACCATTCCTGAGGACTCAGGTGTAATTCCTCTGTACCCTGTAAATTTAAGCCATATCCCATCCTTCAAACCGAAACACAGCCATGCAAACACAACTGCCTCACGGTAGAAACACGAATAGGACAGAGGTACCCAAGCAATCGAGTTTTATAGGTATGGGCATTTAATGTTAAAATAAGATACCAAAGGATATTTCGGATCTATCTTTTAATAAGTTAAAAACTGTTATTAAAAACACTTATTGAACAAAACCTATTACACACTAAACACTTACTTGAATGACAAATATGCATGGTATTAGTCGATCATGCATGGGTTTTTAACGCCCATGTAATTTTAGTCGTAGTACATTTAAATAATAACACATAATGTAAACAGAGAACTCTTCCTAACAGATAACTTTCCAACCCCTTAGTAGATTTTTAAAAAAATACGATGCAAAAGTGCTAAACAAGTCTATTTGAATAAAGATAATTTGAATATATACAATAATATATAACTAATAAAGAACAGCATTAACAACCTCCTTTTTCAAATCGGTTGAAAAAGGCTGACTCAGTACATCGCTATTTTAAGTTATGTGTACTTCCGTATTTTACATAATTTTAAAATGAATTCAATAAATTGAACGAACAAGTACCTACACTCTTTAATATAGACTTGAATCAACCAACAATATTAGTATGACATATATTAGTGTATAGGTATTGATAGATTAAAGAAAAATAAATATAATTTAAACCTAATTTAACGACGCCCAATAATAACAATAATATAAAATCAATAACAACACCGTTTAAATCCATTGATCCAACAGTCATATACACATGAAAAACGAAAACGAAACGTACATTATAACGCTTGACGTGACGTGTCCTTTGCTTTGTTCCTATTACACGTTGCAAAAGATTTTACTCGGTTATTACACATACACATTTATACAAAAACAAAAATCGTTATGCGCTAAATTCAACTAGTTATTTGCTTTTAAAGCTACTATCACATCTGCAATAAAAAAAATGTAATAGATTATTCTGTGCATGTATTATTGTTGTATTATTTTATTTAACAACAAAGGCGGTAAAATAGAATAAAAGACAGTAATGCCTGATCATTCTTCATCAAGGAACGTTCTGAAAGATGGTAATGAATCTGGTGTGTCATTAGCTGTCACTGTCAGTGTTAAGTGCCAACATATTACCAGTCTGCTTCAAAAATCACTCAAGTTTCATATGTGAATAGTAATTAGTGATTTTTGGAATTTTGAAATAAATTTAATATATCCTAATTAATTAATGTTATAAATACATAATAATCAAAATGTATTCTGTGTTAACCAGAGGAAACGCTATACTTACTTACACTCTTAGTGTACTAGCATGTCTTACTTTCTTATGTTTTCTGTCCACGTTAACAGTTGATTACAGAACCGCCGCACAAATGAATACAGTAAAAGTAGTTGTGTCAGTATTACTATTATATAAAATGGTGGATAGTTAAAGTAGTGCGGCTTTTATTTAAAAATAAACCTGTTTACAGCAAAAATGTGCCGGACTACGGTGCCTCTAGGGAGAGGAATGATCTTGGCTTCCTGACGTTCGACTTGAAAACAGATCTAACTCAGCTTTTCAATTGGAATGTAAAACAATTATTCCTATACTTAACAGCAGAATATATTACACCAAACAATGAACTGAATCAGGTTGTATTGTGGGACAAAATCATCCTAAGAGGTGAAAATGCACTCCTAGACTTTAAAAATATGAACACAAAATATTACTTCTGGGATGATGGTAATGGTTTAAAGTAAGTATTAATATAAATTTTCAATTATAATTGTTCTTAGTGACTGAAGTTTTTTTTTATACCACTAAGGTGGCAAGCAAGCATACGACCCACCTGATGGCAAGCGGTTACCGTAGCCGATGAAGTATAAATTACAGACAATAGTTTTATAAAAAATGTCAACTACTTAAACAATTATTAATTGTAACTTTGCCAACTTTAATGATTATACATATACAAAATTTAGGACTGATTACTACCTGAAAGTTATCTAACTTACAATATAAATCTAAAAAAGTCATTCTTCCTCTTGGCATGCATTACTTCATATCTTTATTATTTTTTTTTTATGAAATCTGGTATGACAAAAAAGCTAACAGTTCACCAGATGGGAAATGGTGACAGTTGTCTATACATAGGAATAATATATATATATATATATATATATATATATATATATATATATATATATATATATATATATATATATATATAAACCAAAAATATTAAATTTGTAAACAAAAATATTTTCTTTTTACAGAGCACACAATAATGTCACACTGACATTGTCATGGAATATCATTCCTAATGCAGGTCTCCTGCCCAACATACAAGCCATTGGCCAACATTCCTTTAAATTCCCTACAGAGTACACTCAAACAAGAGTATGATCCAGGGGATATTTTTAAAAAATATATTCCTGATTCTTTTAGTATGAGGGATGAAAGTAAGGTCGCAAGTTTCAATTATAAATCTCTATTCAAAATTGACTTTAATTTTATACCTTTAAGGTTTCTTATTAATATGTTAAGTATCTAAGATTGAAATGTAGAAAATAATGCAGTCAAAACATAAGTTTTCACAAACAAAAAAATTGGAATACATTTAATTTTATAAAAAGAAAAAAATTGTAAATGAGAAAAGTGATAATTATCATCTAAATACTTGTATGCCACAGTAGTATCAATTTGATATTCTTTATTATAACTTCTGAAACAAACATGCAGGCATACAAAGTTTGTAAAAATTATTGTTTGACTTCTGTTGCTCTTAATAAGACATATAGTTACAATATTATCATTAGTAACAACTAATTTACTTTATTTCTCCCTTCGAGCCTAAACAATTGTTTTGCTTATTTTGCCATGTTTTATGCCAAAAATTGATAAAGTAATACCTATTCATAGGTAAAAGTGCTAAACCAGTACAATTTTCACAATACGCTGAGAGTTAAAGGTTTGTTAATAATAAGGATTAGTGGTCCTATTACTAGCAAAATACCTTGTCAAACACATGGTCTCCCCTAGAAAGCATTTCATCACAATGAGTAAACTGACCTGACTCTCCTAAAAACTTTCGAGGGTAGCCCACCAGCATAAACTAATAGTGGTGATATTTCTGTATCCATTTAAAAACAGAAAACAACCCTGGAGGTTCTAATTTATGAATTTTTCTTTTTAATATAATGAAATAGATTTTATTTCACAACCTGTCTTCAAACATGGCAAAGTCAGTTAAGTTAAAAACCAAACTATTAAATAAATTTTGATAAAAATTCTATAAGATCAACCAGAAAATATATCATTTCAGATAAAGAATTTTCCAAATCAGCTAATGTTGTTCGAAGGCAACAAAAATACAGTGTAATTAAAACTTCCTTTTTTGAAGGGTTAAAAACTTAGTTTTTGCAACTAAAAAAGAATGAAACATTTAAATAATATAGGTTTTACTCATAGTTCTAGATCTATTAAGTTATAGATGATCTCAGTGGTTGTGTAAACGAGGTTCTGGGTTTGGCGTAAGGGAAGTATTTTTCTTTAGTAAATAGTACTTTTTACCTTAATACAGACCAATATATTCAATGACATTTAACAAACTTACAAATTTCAAAGGAAAAACCACAAAGGTACAATACAAAAACTCTTTGTATTAATTAAAAGTTATGTATAAATACAAATAAAAATTATGTATTATAAGAATCTTTAGTCCTACGTGAATATTTTTATGTAGACAATATAGGCGAATGAAAGGATTCCGAGATCATCCCACGATGCGAGAGGAGCTTTTGCTTTCAACTATGCAAAATGTTAAATAAATAGACATATACATTTCTAAAAGTTCATTAGACCTAATAAAAATTAAAAGAGATATTGATAAGGTCTAACTTTACTAATGATATACCCTATCAGGTCGACTTCCATGGTATTCCCCCTGGAAACCATCATGGTAGATTCTTGTTTAAATTGTCACAAGGGACCAACCGACCTGCTCTCATCTATCATCCCTCACTACCTTGGTTACCATTATATCTTTACTTATTAAAATGCCTCTAACCCATTAAGGTATTATTGGGAGCAAAGGGATTTTTTAGTAATGTAGACTATCAGTCCCAGTTAGCAATATACCAGGTCGACCTACACTGGGTTCCCCCTGGAAATCGTGCTGAATTTCAAGGGTAATCATCACAGTAGGCCAACTGACCTGTCGTTTCATCCTCATCTATCATGCCCCACTGCCGTTAGCGAAGGCAAAGTTATTCCATTATCATCCATTGCATAAAAGTATATAATTATTGGTATAAAAAGAACGTTAAAATCTAATTATAAAAAAAATACTACGGATATGTTATTTTATAGTGTATATTTTATCAATTACAATTAAACATACATTTACCATTTTTCCTCTACATGTGTCATTCTACAGCAGAAAAAAACTATATAGGTATTTTCTATCATTGCCTTCTTTTTATCTACTTAAAGTACATGTTTTAAAGGTTTCATTTTCTAGAAACTGGAAAAGAAAAGGAAGTAAATTACCAAGAACCAAATCTAAATATTAAGTATCATTATGTTATTCTTATCATGTAACAATAACAACTGAATAATATTATTTCATATCTATTTCTTTAAGGTTGCTATGTATCATGAACTAACTTTATGACATTACACACTCAGAGCGTTTTGTAATGTCTAATATTATAAATGCAATTATACTAAAGTAGCAATTTACTCTAATTATTTCATTAATCCAATTACTACGACTACTATGTTTAATTTTAAGGACCTCACACAAAGCATAATATATTTTATATACTTGATGTATCTTGTATACCTTACATTTGATATACTTTAATTTTGTAGCTATAAGTAGTAAAAATACAAATTATTTCGTAATAAAACTACTCGACTTACGGGCCAATATTTAAATTTTCTTAAATAAATCTAATCAAATAAAAAGGTAAGTCGGCGATATTGCAGTTCGCTTTTAACTATAGAATAAAATATAATCCACAGATATAATAAACCTTAGTTCACCATAGCTACTTTGTACTAAAAAAATAACTATATTACAACGTGAGCTATACGAATTTATCTCTCAGGATATAATTTTATTCAATGGTGAAAAGGTGGCTTCAGTCCAGAACTAAGAAATATTCAAATATATGTTAAATAGAAATGTGTACAGAACTTTATTAAAATATCGTAAAATGTATCGTATAAAAATTGTTATTTAATATATAATTACACATTTTTACGATATTTTAATAGAATTCAATAACGTTCCGATACTGATAAATAATAAAAACTCCAAAATATTGACGATAAAGGTTCTTTTTTAAAGACGAGACAATGAATTTTTTACCTAATAGTATATTTTATTAAATATGTAAGTTTCATTACATGATCTAAAAACAGAATTAAATGGGATGAGATGTTCCAGAACTTATATTTTATTTCAATACAAATTACATAACTTAAAAATATTAAATTATAAATGAACAAATGGACAATTTAAACCATTAATTTGTGCAATATTCCTCACATATTGATGCTATATATTTATAAAATATGTAAATGAAAAACTCCGATTGTAGTTTTATTCTAATAAACAATCGCAAATTTTAACACAACCTAATTTAAATACAAATTACAATTCATAAAAATAATGTAAATATATCCCTACGTGGAAATTAATTTGTCTTTAGAAGTATTTGTCAATACGTATAATTACTAAAGACTGAACATTTAACAACAGTATTACTACCAGAATATTTAACAAGATTTCTATGTCAATGCGGATTATATATTTTTATATTTATCTCTGTTTAGGTAACAATTGCAAGTTATATTTATAGACTGTATAATTTTTTATCTGAAACATAATATCTGCAATTAATTACCTCTAAATTATTCTAACCAACTGCTATTAACACCTGAACTGCTGTTGCACATATTACGCTTCATTCGCATCTAATCAAGCAAAACATTATTAAGAGATTGCTAGATTATGACGAGGACGGCTTTACAGATTTTAATAGTGTCGATTATGATGCGCCATCAAACTAAATTGGTTTACATTACGCTAAAAATCGGCCATTAATTTCTGAAGTGAAATTAATAAAAGAAACAAAGATGCACTACCAAAGACTAAAAAGCGACTCTGTAAATCGTATTGACCACAAATTATGCACTAATTCCTAACCAGCTAGTGATTTGTAATCAAACAAAGCGAAATGTTCTTACAACTTTTGTAAACATATAAGTTACAAATAACCTATATGTTTACAAAAGTTATATATAATATTTAAATAGGTAAATATTCGACTGCGTCCATGCCTTGTCTTACGTTAACTATTTATTCTTTAAAATTCGAGATAGATTTAAATGTATTTTTATATACGAATGTGGATCTTGGATTTTCTATATGAATAATGTGACGTAAAATAAATTTACTTCAATTTAATTTAATGGTACATAAAATCAGTACCAGAAATGTCACAAATTTATTATATTATCCAAATTTTAACAAATTTACTTATTCATTAACAGTACATATTGCTTACATGCCTTTGGCATGTGTTTAGTATTCACGAAGTTCACTATCAAGAATCACTACAATTCGTTCTAACATTCAAAGCTGATCCCACTAAATTGCATGGAAAAATATTTCATATTTGAATAAATACAAACTTCTCATGTACTCATTAGCTCTAGCGCATTATTAGTGACATCCGCATTGGTAATCACCAAATTGTATGTATAGCGAATTTTCTATACTACTATTCAACATGAGATAAATTATTCTAATGCAATAAGTAAATACAGTACAGAACATGACCTGTTATATGAATTGACTAGCATTTGGTATGATGTATAGCGCATGATTTTATTTAAACAGATTTATTTCACATATACTATGACAAGATAATGGGTCCCAGAGTACTGCCCTTACAAAATAACAAGTGTTATATGTCTAAGGAGGATACAAGTAATCTAAAAAAGTATATTTTCTAGTTTATTATTTTAATTATTGTGAGTATTATAATTAACAAGACAATTTTATTCTTATAAGAAATGTTAAAGTGAAAATATAAATTTAAATGCCTAATAAAATTAAAGTAAGATAAAAATACACAAAATTTTTAAATTCAAATAAAATAATACATTCCAATACACATTTAAACAGTAACTTGTTCTTTCATTAATTTTGCTCTTATACCATTGGTTTATCACGGATATTGAAAAACGCGCGTTTTAAATCGATTGTTATAACTTAACAGCAATACTTAAGATCACAGTTTCTGCCATACTAAGTGATTTGACTTTACATGGCATTATTAACTAAAAATGACCATTGAAATTAATACAGTCCATCATCACACAGGCATAACATGAGCTAGAACTTAAAAAGCGGCAATAAATATTAAGTAATTAAAATTTCAACATCAAATACAGTCAATGAAGAAACAAAACATTATTATTTTATAGCTTATATGGTATTCGCTGTATTTATGTCACAATTAAATTTTGTAGCAAAATGTGAATCATGAAAGATACTGTCAAAAGACCTAACATCCAAAATTTGTAAGTAACCGTAAAATATCAGTTGTATACTGGAACGGCGACTGTTATCATTTTCCTGCCTGCACATCTGTCAGTTATAGTAACATTTTACTATAATCTGATACTTCACAGGTTAGTTTTGGACTATAATAAAGAACTATCAGGAAAAGGAGTCAAATGTGCTGACAGGTGTCATGTTGTCTACCTATGAATATGCTCGGCAACGTTTCCGCAGCCGTCGATTTACACTCATTCAGAGGCGGCAGGGCTCAACCGCAGGACGTCACGCGCCCACTTGCGGCCTCTCCTCCGTCTGCACATCTTTGTCTGCTGTCGGCGGCTGCCACTCTCGGTCAGAACCATACCGCCTTGATAAATCTAGCATTTCTCTCAAACCCTGAAATATTGTTAAGTTTCAACATCAACTCAAAATTCTTCATCAGAATTACTATTGAACATAGACCACTCCCATACACTGCCATAAGGAATGGCTCTGAGCCACCAGCATCTACTGACTCCTTGCAATGCATATGAGGTTGTCACTCCATCTAGTGGAAGATCATCCTACACTGTATTGTATATAATATTGGAAATTTAATACTGCAAGGAATATGCACATTATATAGACATAGTAGGGACACTTTTGACTTGGTTACCTAACACAGAGAGTAATGCCAGCTCAAATAGAAAAATCGCCATTAATGTTATCTATATTTTTTATGCAACTTAGAATGGCAAAAAAGTTTGTAAGATTTTTTTTTTGTTTTGTTTATAATTGTAACTTATAGACATGATCAGTGTCATGTATTTCACAGAGTCTTCTATGATACCATCATATTTATCAATATTACAGCTATTAATTGTCCACTACTAAACAAGCCAACTGTGTAAACTGCCTTAAGAAATGGTCCTGACTTGCACTTTAGTTGACATACCATTTAGTAGGGTTCACTAGATAATCTGACTATATGGCATTCACTTGTATAATATCAATACTAGAAAACCTTTCTTTCCTATTGGTTTTAATTTTTATATATGCTAACTTGATTCTTCTGAGAATATTCACATTTTGTATTCTACCACATAATGAAACTACGGCCATAGCCTTCTCCATAGCTCATTGCACAATTTGGAACTTCATCATATGTCAAACAAATTATACAGTAATACAAGTGTTCTGCAATGACCTTAACATTTGACCAGTGCCAATACCATCAATACATACCTTATTCTCTGTAATAAGCCTTTGGTATAATTCTTCCTCTTTCCTGGAGTCACCATTCTCATCTGAATTAACAGCTTTGTACATGATGCTAGTCATTTCATTGATTCTCTCTGCTTGTTGACGAATCAACTACAAAAAAAAATATTTCAGTATTCAACATTATCACATAATAAGATTTAATAAATATATACAGTGTATTAAGATATTATATTATAGCTCTTATTGCCTTGCAAGAACATATCAATAAGTGGAAAGATATCAACTCTAAAATTATGCTAATACTCATAGCATGATAATAATACATTTAATAAATACAGACATGTGTCTGCGAGTAATGTATTTCAACAGAGGAAGACTTTTTACAAAAATAGTTCACTTGGTTACCTCTATCCCATTCATGTTTTTACCATGAAGCAGTTATGTTTGCATGGCTGTGTTTCAGTTTGAAAGGTAAAACATGGCAGTGAATTTACACGGTACAGAAGCATAACACCTTCCTCATGAATGGTAATGCAAATAGGGTATTATGACCAAATACAATCTGTTAAAGCTAAGTAATATCATGGCTTCAGATATGAAACTGTGATATATGCTAAATTAGTCCTTTACACAGACACTGCAAACAATATTACATTCATTATAATTTTATTATATTTTAAAAATAATATACAACCCATGTTATTCACTGATAATGTAGTTTGGTATAGTGAAAAAGAGAGAGGTTCTTTGAGAGAATTTTAAAAGTTAGTTGAGTAGCTTTCGAGTTTTGCCTTATAGACAAATGAACATAAAAAAATTAGAGTCTTTCCTCTTTGCAATATTAGCAGATGTAGATAACAGTTCTTAAATAATACTTATGGCACATGTCTTCACATAATACTATTTTTGTTAACTAATGGTTTCTCATTATGTTTAATTGAAATTGGCTCACTGATGTGAATTAATAAGACATCAAGTCTTGGCAATCACTTTACAAACTCCCATGATAAAGTTTCAACTAGTGGGGGGTTCAATATACTCTTTTACATTTTTATTGTGTATTGTAATAAAAATGAAATTAAATATATATTATATGCCAAAAAATTTTATAAAATCAGACTTTAAATAACTAGTAATAAGTAGTATGTAATAATATTATTTCAGCAAATATATAACCACACTTAATGTAAAATATTTTATACAATTTAAATATTGTAAAATAAATATGCTTACTAGTATATTTATTTTACAATATTTACTACTAAAATATTTAGATACTAAAACATACTGAAGATACATAAGATATTTTAAATTCAATGTACTAAATTAATATATATTTTTTACTTAGCACAGCAAAAATATAGACATTTTTAAAATTTTTTACAACATTCAAAGACCTCCTTCCTCATAACATTTCTTTAATTAAAAAACAATTACCTCCTGTTGTTTTTCATTAATAGCAGCTGTAAAATCTATTCTGGACTCCCATATTCTTTTTTCTGTGTGTTGACGATATTTTGACATAATAAGTTCCAGTGCACGTCTATGATCTTCCAAAGCCGCTCTCAGTTCTCCATTCTCCCGCTGAACATCACGCATTAAACGAGACTCGCGTTCTATGCTAGCAATCAAAGCACCACGTGGCCGTTCACGTGACGCTTCATTTAAAGTATCAACTTCTTCTTTGTACTGCAATTGTTTAAATAGTAATATTGTAATATATTTATTTTGCCTCAAATTAAATAGTTTACAATATTTTTAAATTATAAATATCTGAACCTGTAGACTGTGTTTTAAGTAGGATTTTAAAACTAAAAAGGTTCAGAAAATATGTGTCAATAGACATGTTGTAACATGTAGATCATATTAATATAACTAACACTATTTTCCCCTTTTAAATGAGCAGGTCAATTTATTATTTATAAAAGTATACTTACATCTAAAATATTAAAAATTATTTGCATATCATCATCAATTTTTTACCCTACAACACAGCTAAGGAAACAATTTCAAGTATAAACTATTTGCCTAAATATAATTCACAGATAACAAACTAATCATTTTTAAATAATATCCAAATTGCAGGTAAATGTTTAACACAGTAGATAACAAACCATGTGCAGGATCAACTAGTAAAACAATTTATTTAAAACTTCAGTAACTTACTGTAAAATGTTTACTGATCATTATCTGAAAATCAGAACTACAAAAACTTAATCCCTTATAGGATACCTGGCACTAGTAAGATATAAGCATGACATGTTAATCCTAATTACCAATTGCCAATTGTTTATTTCCAGGCAAATTTATGCTCATTTTCAAGATTATTGGAGTGTACTACAAGAGTTACTAGTTCCGTTATTTATATGTCGTCTACAATGCATAAGTTTAAGCGATTATGAACGACAAAAAGTATAAAATTGTAAGTCGTGTTGTATTAGCGATAGCGTTTTGCCAAATCGAGTTCATTCAATAAGTAATACCTGTTTCATCGTATGAATTTGTCTGTAAGCTGTTTGAGTTTCGGTTAATAAAGCATCCGCTTCAGTTTCTCGCTCTTTGAGACGACCTGCGAGTCTTTTTGCATCCAAAATTATTTGCTGTATGGTCAGTGACATCTGAAAGAGTCAGCAATGTAGAAACACATAAATCTACAAAATCACAAAGTTTTTCAACTTTTCTACACGAACCCTGATATCCACACAAAACAGTTATGCAACTGGCGTATCATCTAAGTAATTATATAAAATAAATTAAATGAAACACAATTATCTTCAATGAAAATATAGAACGACGCACATCAGCTGTTTCGAGATTAGATAGAGCGCGGCGGCCATTAGCTTAGCTTTCATTGGAAACAAGTATAATAATATCAATTTAAGAGAGCCTGCAAGTAAAAGACATGAAATAACAACCATACCCCAAATTCATATGAGTGAAAGAGAAAGTAGAAAAATGACTGAATGTTTAATTTTATAGGAATATATGACATGACCTTGATTATGAGAAACATATATTTAGTTCAATATCTTTGGAAACCATAGAGTAATCTAAGAAAGTGTTTAGAAGAAACAAGTTTAATTGCTTTATAAGAACAAGGAAATCTTTAATTGCTTTCATAATTTAATCAATGGCCATTAATTTTTTCACCTAATCTCAAGATATTAGTAGATTAGTAGTTTTAGGAAATTGTATTTCATACTTTAAGGATTTTGCCCAAATTTAAATATTATTTTTTTTTCAAGATATCTCTATATTTTGAATTAAGTCTACATACTAGGTATTTTGGCTTCGGCTGTTTATAGGACAAAAATAGCTTCCTCATTTTTTTTCTTATAAGCAGCAAAAACGTAACTCAAAGGAATTTTTTTATAATAAGAGTCAGGCCGGCGACAGTTGGTACATCATTGTTGGAATGACGTTTTTCTATGAAACTATGTTACCAAACTAAAAAAAAAATTATTCATAACTGATCATAGCCATCTTAAATAGGGGCCATGACAGTCAGAGTAATGCGCTATTTCAAAAATACCGCTACATTTATAAATATATTTTTTTATTATTAACTAGCGACCCGCTCCGGCTTCGCACGGGTGCAATACCAAATATACCTACCTACTACAGAATGTCCTTATGAACATTTACAGCTATTTTGTCATTAGACAATATAAACATGATAAAGTGCTATAGGCCGAAGTGCGGCACACTGAAGTTAAGAACGGACAGACAGCGACAGCGACTTTGTTTTATACTATGTAGTGAAGTCATATTTAAAAAGCATATGTCTTAAAAATTTTCAGTAAATATAAACCGATAAGTAAATAATAAGTCATTAAAATTTGCATGTATTATACTGTATTATAAAATTAATTCATTATAATTGTAGTATGCGGTTTCTCGTCAAAATGTTACCTTTTAATTTAAAAATAATTTTAATTATAGTTATATGTATGTGATTAAAATAATGTTATAACTACAAATAAAGCTATTTCTCTTATATGCATAGTACAATATGATAATATTCTTTAGAATTGAGTACGTGTTTTTTTTTTCAGATGTTGTTTGCTTCAGCACAACGCTTCCAACTATTGTTTAATACACCAAAGAGAATTTACATTACTCGTCTGTCAAAAAAAATTATATTAAAATTGTGGTAGAGTGAAATAAAGTAACTAAATCTAAGTGCTTGTTTTATTGTCCATATTCATGTTAATCATTTTTAAAATGCCTTAACCCTATCATGACGCCTATTCAAAATAGTTCTTAGAACAAGGACTTACATAGAAGAAATGATAAAATAAAAACTGTAAATCATATAGTTGCCTCTTTTCTTCTTATGCAAATATAATAAGTAAAAAGAGGACGAATGATACACCATCAGTTGCTGCTTTTGACAATTCATAGCAGGCTAGTGTATAGAAAATGTTATATGGTGATATAACCCTACCAAATTCAGATACAATCTGCTTGCATACTTTCTACATGAACCGTATCGAATATATAATCTAGTAATGTAAATTTGTCATTGACAAATAATTGACATATCAAACGTTTTTTGCGACAATTCAAAAAAAATTATTTTTGAAATTAATTGAGCGGTAGATCTATATCCGTGTTTTTTTTTTTATACAACTTAGAATGGCAAACAAGCTGACGGCCCACCTGATAGAAAATGGTAACCGTCGCCTATAGTCATGAGCAATACCATGGACATAACAGAGTATACTGTTTTGCCCATGATACCCCCCATGCGTTGTCATTTCTGAGGACTCAGATGTTATTCCTCTGTACCCTGTAAATTCACGCCATATCCCACCCTTCAAACCGAAACACAGCCATACAAACAACTGCTTCACGGTAGAAACACGAATGGGACAGAGGTATTCAAGCAATCGACCTCTTTCCTACAAAAGCCACCTAGATTGATTCTTGGTAATTTCATCACAATGCAACTGACCTAATTTACATCCTCATTTATCATCATTCACTGGTACCCAGTAATGTATACCATCTTTCACATATACAACGTCTATGTTCGTCGTTCGTCGTATATCTTGAGCAGCAAGCCAGTTTAAATCAAACAATACTCTCGAGTCTACTGGTAACATCTTACTGTGGTATAAATAGATTTTTTTATTAAACTGTTATTAATTACTCAGTTTTACCAGTATTCATTTATTTTCTAATAAGGTTAGAAACTAAGTATCTACATAGGTAGCAGGTGGTAAAAATACGTTAATATTTTTTAAATTATTAGGAAATTTTACTTAAATTAAAGACAACTTTTTTATTTGACCACATTATAAAATACCCACTGTAGCTGTGAACTATTTCAGTTCCTTCTTTCTTTCTTTCAGTATTCCATTAGCGAATTGTAATTGACTCCGAGCATTTAGAGAAACGGCATTCTCTAAGATAAAAAAAAAATATCGTCCATTGTTGAACATAGGTCTCCATATTTTACCTCAAAAATAGTCGATTGTCGGTATTCATCTATTTTCGTTTTTCGAGTCATCTTTTCGTGTAATAGGGAGGCGACCTTACAATACGTTTACTTGTAGTACAGAGTCACCTTACAAGAACCATTTTTCCTCACTCAACCTATGTGGTAAGCTCAACCCATTAATACTTCAGCTTGCTAATTTATATTCTACGATAACGTCTCGTATCATATTACACAAAGCTTTGTGCTTTGATCCGAGTATTGATCGTCGCTAGCACCTCAACGGTGTATTTTTGTATTCGCATCAAAATGCAAGTTTTATTTGACTCTGCCATCCAAGACATAATGTCTCAATAAAAATGATTAGGCATGGATTTGTGGCTGGATGAAAGGTAACGACCACCATCATCCTCATTTCACACACTTACCTTACATTAGCATGACAAATGGGAAAATCTAATAAACCTATTGACCGAACTCACGAGCAAACGAATGTAAACAACCAAAATTTATTCGAACCTTTTAGTCGTACTTAAAACATATACAGGCAATAAATAATATTTTTTGTCAGATTTCGTACTGACTAATTCGTTACTGTATTTTCACAACGTTTCTTCTAAACTTAAAATCTAAATTCAACTTGATATAAAAATATACCCTAATTTAATAAAAATAAGTATAATGTCACAACAAACAAGTATAAAACAAAGTACTATTTATGATATGTAACTACCATTCGAACATTCACATACAAAGTAGTCACATATATAGTTCAAAGTATAAGTATAATCACATATATTAGATATTATATGTTTATAATTTACAGTTTATGTTTTATAAGGAATTCCCTAATGATCTTGTTCACTTTTTCCGGCTCTTCTTGTTGTAAGAAATGGCGACAGTCCTTGACTATAGTAGTTTCAATATAATCGTACTGCTTCTTCATCATATCTAAAATGGAGTGTCTTATGTACAAGTCGTTTGCGGCATGAGCTACTAGCATCGGAACGTTCTCCTCTAAATGTTTTTCTGGCAGACTGTACGCAAAATTTGCTCGGTAGTAATTAATAGGATAAGTGAAGGCAACTGAAACAAACAAATTTTATTTAGCTTTTAGAACTAGTGTTACAATTATAGTAATATCAATACAAGGTGATGTCTCATTTTGGATCCCGTCATTGTAAAGTATTACAAAAATTGAGAAAGACAGAACATCGGAATAATAGATGTACATTCATATACAAAATCTAAAATTTATTGGCACAAATATTATTTCTGTTATTTTGTTACCCAATTGTTAATTCACATCGCGTGACATGAAAATGTATTTAATGTAATTACATAAAATGTAAAATAATAGCGACGCAATTATTTATTTGACAGAAAGATACCTAGTCACACATGAAAAAATGATCATACAATCAATTTTTACGGACTAAGCGTTTTTTCATATTATTATATTAATTATACATGTACTTATTTATAAACATACCTATTGAAATTATTTATAAAAATAATACAGTTAGCATTCTAATATCACGCATTAAACTTGAATTTTCTATCTTCGATATAAATATTTTCAACTTGGTATAGTCGATCAATTTAATTAAGAGCAAACCTCTAATTGTCACTTGTTGTGCTCAACAAAGTCCATAATGCTCACTATAATAATATTATATTAACAGACATCTGTTGTAACATTATGGCACGCAAATAAACAATTATACAACTATTTTTGTGTAACATAACAGAATAGAAAAACTGGAATAAAATTTACTCACAATCTTTGGCAAACCAGTACTTGTAACATTCAATATCTTTACTGGTAATAGAGTCTTTGCCTGGAACCAGCATTGATTTGTCAAATACATTCAAATTATTCAGTTGTAATAGTTGCTCTGGTATATACGGCATTCGGAAGAAGAAGACATACCTAAAAAAATATAAGAGGTATAAACTTTTATTATTTGTCCAGTTTATTCCAATTGCATTAGGAAAAAAAAATTAAAACATCTTCCTTACCATGACTTCATCATTTGTTTAAAATCACTGAATACACATTTGAACCAAGATTCGCGTGATATACTAGCCAATAAAATTACAGCATCTAAAACCTCAGGGTAGACATCACGGAATCGACAGGCAATAATACCACCCCAATCATGAGAGACGAGGATGCATTTTTCACGGCCTGTAAAAAAAATAATGATTAACTATAATATTTAATTCACAAATTAACGAAAAAAAAAATAGAAAGAAAAGCACGTACATATATCAACTATATAATATTATTCAAATTAAAGTGTCCTTTAAAACACTATCATTATTAAAAATGTTTTTATTATTTATACACTCGACCGGTTTCGATAGGCGTACATTCAGAAAAGTGTCGGGGTCAGTGATAATAGTGGCGTATTATGGCCAAATTAGACCGCAAGATTCGTAAGTTTGAATCGAACACTACCTACACCTAAGAATAAATAGTCCGATAATGAACAATACCGTTAACAAACCAAATTGATCCGAATAATTGCGGAAGGCTCGCGTCCTTTCACTATAGATTCAAATGTTTGACGAATTTGTGTTCACTACAATAATACGGTAACAACCTTTGACTACCCTAGCAGATGTTATAAGTGTGATGTAAAGATTTACTACCTTTAACTCGCGACTTTGCCTACATGTCCGTGTTATCTTGATTAACCTGGATTAATAGTAGCCTGTATATTCTTCCTCATCCCAAATTGTATGTGTATACTCAATTTTATAATGATTGATTGAGATGATAAGAAATTAGAAACAAATTCATTTCTTTATAAAATTAGTAATACTCGTAATAAGATTTCATAATTCGTAAACAAGTGATTTTACTACTTAAATTATATAGATAGATGTAGTATGTATCTTTAACAATTCAGGCTATAGTAACCGCTTTTTTCTTTAACAATATATAATCTGTAAATATACACGTATATACAATCTATCTGAGTATTTTGAATTGTGATTATGATGATACATTCATTCATTTATGAATGCTGAATAATGAAAAAAAAACTTTAGACCTATTTTACATTGAGGGCAATGCGATTTTAAATTACGCATTTCATATAAACTAATTAACTAGATAATTGATTTATAAACGAGACAAATTCATTCTAAATTGTCATTAGGCTATTAGCATGTTACCCAATCCATGTCAAACTCATTTTTTCTGTTCATCACAAATATTATTCTAAAATTTATAATGCGGCTAAATGAACTGACTAATTAGGCGTTTGCAATTGCTAGTAACAACTTTAGGAAGGGGCAGTCGACGGACAGTGCATAGGACGGCAAAATCCAAAGGGGACGCCATGGTCCCAAAGGGATGCCAAGATCCAAAAGGGATGCCGTGTGGACGGTAGTAAAGCCGATGTGGACAATATCAAACCTAATGTGGACGATTTCAAAATACATGCTAACCTTTTCTTAGTCATCAATTCTCTTTTATTGTCGTTTGAATTAGCGTCATTAAAAACTAAAGTTAGCCAAAAATTAAAATAAGTACCATAGCCTAGGGGTGCCAAGTACATTAAGCGTAGTTCCCGATTGCATATATTTATACAAGTTTTGTGTTAAACATATGTTGTAAGTAGGAACTGCAATAAATTATTGAGTAAATTACGTATCTAGGAACTGTTAGTTATGTGTGAAATGGAAAGGTGCGAGTTATTACAAAAAGATGTCTCCTATAAGGAAA